TAACGTATTATAAACTATAGTTTAGATAAATGAAGCTGAACATAACGTATTATAAACTATAGTTTAGATGACAAAACCTTGTTGAAACGTTGTACATTTGCTGTCATGTTAAACTTATATTAAAGTTTTTCTTTATTACCCATTTAAGCCGTCTCCAGCCATTATTAATCTCAAAGTGGGTTCCTCGTCACCGAATTCTTACCACAATATCTTTGAACATTTTTTAACCTCCAACACAAAAAAACTAATAGAAAGTGGCTCCAAATAGCATCTACACTTTTTAGCATCATTTTTTACAAACCAATAACTATGAATAAATTGACTATAAAAAGTATATCATTTATACTAAGCATATATATTTTGTAACAATAAAAACCTTCACAACTAGAAATTTCATCAAGTATCATCCTCATTAAGCAAACATTTTTACTGACAGTAAAAATCTAATGACCTTCACAACATGATAATAAGCTTATACTTGACTAGGCAAATAAAATGTACTGTAAGTGGAGAGGATGGATGAGAAGGTGGTACATAAAGGTAGGTATCTATCTGAAATACATTTTCAGATAAGGAAAATGTTAACTTCAGAAATGCTACTTACCTCTCTGCACCACTAAGAACTAGAATCCAACATTGAAAGGGGTTGATACAGGCCAATTAAGATGATGAGCTCCTTTCTGAAAAGCAACTTTCACGAGACTAGAGGTCACCTGGAAGAGCAGCATCTAGTGAGAGACTGCATCCTTCTCAAGCGGAGAATACTCTTTTCCCAATTTGTTTTTATTTATTCATTGTCACATTTCATGTATATTACAGAAAGATTTACAGTAAAGGATATTGGATAAATCCAGCACCTTTGGTAATATGTTGCAAAGGTAGGAGGAACATTAGAGCATGTAGTGTGGCTGGAGCTTTAGGCCATTCCATCTTGGTGAAATATTTACATAAGATATTGTAATGACAGGTGGAGAGAGGAGGAGCTCTCACCTGCATCCTGAAGCAAGTTTGCTGGAACCAAACTACTGAGGTCATAAAGAAGTCTCAGGAAAAAGGTGAAAGGCAGAAATAAAAAAGTAGGGTAAAAACATATAACTGGAAAGAAAACACAAACAAGAAAAAAAAAGAAGTACTTCAAACAAAATGAAAGGACTCAAGAGATTGGGGACCAAGAAATGTAAAAGAGCTAAGACCTGAGGCCATTGAAAAGAAGTCAAGAAAACAGATAAAACAAAAAAGATGTGAAACAACATGGAGATTAGAGATAAGGAGGTCAAAAAGTAAAATGACTAAAGAGACATTATGATATACAGGTAAAAAAAAAGAAAAGAATATCATATTCCTGATTCCTGAGCATAGCAAACAGAAAGGGAGGAAGTACTTGTTTCTCATGAGGGAGTGAAGAGCAAGAGATAGAAAATTGGGTCAGACTCATCCACAAGCAAGGCAGGCTCCAGAGAAGAAAAAGAAACAAAATTACTAGTGACCTGAACTGGAGAAGAAATAGATAGAAGGAAACCTACTAGATGATGCATGAAAGCAAAAACATCATTAGTGAACTTGTTGGTACACCATGGTTCATCACAGCTCAATAAGGTTGTGGAAGTTATCAAAGACGTCAAAAATACCTTGCCATGGAGTGAAATCTGAGACCTATCACACTCAGAAGGGTGCTTTACTAAGTGAGGTAAAGAGATAACAACTGAATGTATAGTCCATAAACAGATAAAGTGCCTCTAGTCACCATTAAGTCAGTCAGAGAAAATACCTGAAAAAGAATGTCTAGGTCTTGGGAGTTTTTTGTTTTTTATGTGGCATATACTGTTGAAGGAAATTTGAAAGAAGTCTAAAGTAAAAATGTAATGGCTAGAGAAAATGAAGTTGCAATTGGGTATATATATAACAAAAGTGCAACAAGGACAAAAGCAATGTAGGACTAAAGAATGATGGTTGATTAAATTGACTATAAACCCAAAAAGCACAGGAACAGGCATGTCTGAATATAAACAGTGCCAAGAAAAGAATGAGCCTATGACCATGTGCTAGTGTTCACAGGGAATACTACATATGGAGGTTGTTTCATTCTCCTATTGTTGGTGGATTGCAGTATTATGATGATTATGTCATAGGCTAGTGCAATACACACAGACACGTGCAGGAGTGGGAATCTGTTCAAGGCTTGTGGCATGTGCAGAAAATTCCATGGCAGTTGTGCATGAAGTAATAGCTCTTAGTAGTGCAGAGAAGTAGGTAGCATTTCTGAATTCAGTTTTTCCAGGTTAGTTCAAAATCCTTCCTCTCTAGAGCAGCTATTTTTCTGAAAATTTTTGTTTTCTCTCTTTTATATCTCCGTCTTGAAAGCTGTATGTTTGAGACCACCTCTCTGGATTAGCCTATGCAAGATATCAATTTATTGAAAATAGTCCATAGATGACTTACAGTCTGGATAGTACTGTATCTTCTCTGATATTCTCTGATTTGCTGTTCACTAAGTCATTTATTGCAGGAATCTACTTTCCATGTGAGCTTGAGCAAGAGCCAAATTTCCAACACATGGTTATTTATCCTTCACCTGACTCCACCAGTAATTCCCACACATCTCCTTGCAATTGTTTCAATCTGTAAGAATTAAGTTGTCTGCACACTGCAACTTGTGGATTCTTGGTCATACTTGACTCTTTTTGCTCTGTCAGTACATCCATCAGGCTTGGCAAATTTTACAAGTACTTGAGTTTGGTGGGATGACCCTTTACTACTGGACCTAGGGCAGAGGCACATTTTAAGACTTCATTTACTAATGAGAGTTTCATTTGCAGATAAACAGTATAGCTTGAATATGCTTTCTTACCTTTACTGTAAAGTCTGGCTATTGAGTCATGTTTTTTTACTTTGCCTATTAGCTTGGCTATATTTGGTCTATATAAAATGTCTATAATTGGCAGATGATTTGCTTCATTAACAACCTCTTCAGTGAAACTGCTTCAACGGTGGCCCTGAAATCTAGTTTTTCTAGAATTATGAAGCAACAAAATAACTCCTTGAAAACTTCAAGCTGCTGGTCAAGTAAGTTGTGATTTATTGACTGCTTTGCCTGGAACAGTTACATAAACTTCTTCAAAAACTCTAATCCAAATGAACAGAAATGAAGAATAAGTCTCTCTGTTTTTAAAAATTATAATTTTTCTATACTGAAAATGTATTTCCGATAGGTACTTACCTCCTCTACCACAAATAGCTATTCTCATTCAATGCTTCCCTCTATATGCAAAAAAATATTTTGTACATGACACAAGCCTTACATCTCCCACATCTGGAATTCACTGATTCCAATGCATCTTGCATGCAAATCATCATGCAACAAACCTCCACCAATAAGATTGCGGCATACTCTCTTGACACACGTGACTCCCTCTATTCAATTCTATCAAACTATCACTTCGAGTTTGGGCAGAAAATGGAAACACAGTTTT